ACCTGTTAACCTATACCTGTTAACCTATACCTGTTAACCTATACCTGTTAACCTATACCTGTTAACCTATACCTGTTAACCTATACCTGTTAACCTATACCTGTTAACCTATACCTGTTAACCTATACCTGTTAACCTATACCTGTTAACCTATACCTGTTAACCTATACCTGTTAACCTATACCTGTTAACCTATACCTGTTAACCTATACCTGTTAACCTATACCTGTTAACCTATACCTGTTAACCTATACCTGTTAACCTATACCTGTTAACCTATACCTGTTAACCTATACCTGTTAACCTATACCTGTTAACCTATACCTGTTAACCTATACCTGTTAACCTATACCTGCTAACCTATACCTGTTAACCTATACCTGTTAACCTATACCTGTTAACCTATACCTGTTAACCTATACCTGTTAACCTATACCTGTTAACCTATACCTGTTAACCTATACTTGTTAACCTATACCTGTTAACCTATACCTGTTAACCTATACCTGTTAACCTATACCTGTTAACCTATACCTGTTAACCTATACCTGTTAACCTATACTTGTTAACCTATACCTGTTAACCTATACCTGTTAACCTATACCTGTTAACCTATACCTGTTAACCTATACCTGTTAACCTATACCTGTTAACCTATACCTGTTAACCTATACCTGTTAACCTATACCTGTTAACCTATACCTGTTAACCTATACCTGTTAACCTATACCTGTTAACCTATACCTGTTAACCTATACCTGTTAACCTATACCTGTTAAAAGCTTGGAAACAATAGTTTTATTCGATTTACAAGTGTATCTCCTTCATATGAATGAAAAAAAAGAGATCCAAAATTCTGGTTTCAGCAAATTGCTAACGATTATTATAAACTTCGCATAGACACCGCACAAATTTTCAATCGGGTTGAGGTGAGCGGCTTGGCCATTTCATTACATTGACGCAATTCGCTGTCATATGTGACGAATAGCCACTAAAAAAGCCACTGATTCGCTACTTCTCTAGCTGTGAAATTCTTTCGCTACTAAAGGTGCTGTTCAAAATGGCCAGAAAATGGCCAGTACTATCAGAAATTAAGTTCTGGCTTGGCTTTTGTTAAGTTACCTAACTCTGAGGCTTTTAAGTCGAGCTACAGATCATTTTCCGTTCATGTTTTGGAGCCATTTACTAAGAGATTGACTCCAAAACATGGAAAGCTCTATATTTCAATGTCTTGCAGGTAAGTACCCCAAACAAATTATAGTTTTCTCTAGCCAAATTTGATGAGGATTCTATTAAAGCCAATCGTAAGTCAATCTGATGCCTGAAAGTCGAGATATAAGCATTCAAAGTTGACCGGTTTCTGCAGGTTTTTCCTAAGAAAAAAAAACCGCAACTTTGACGCAAGCCGGTCAGCTTTGACCCCGTTTTTCTCTATCTTGTATATGTGCGCCGAATATTCGACACCAAATTCAAATTTGGCATCTAAACAATCAATTACCTTGTGTACAGGGTGACCAAGAATTACCGCAACAACTTTTTGGAAGATTATCTGGGAAATGTCTAATTGATTTCAAAAGTGGCAAGTGTTATACAGAGATTGTAGCCCTTAATCTTGGCTACATTTATCTACCAAAAAATATCCCGATTAGACTTATACAACTCATTTAACAAGCGCTTGAATGAGCGCTAGTCGACATCTCTTCGGCGACTCTGTCATTTGGCCACTTTTCTCTATTAAAAATTGTTAAGAAAAGCTTCGATTCGATTTGAGTTGCCTGGAAATCTCTTGATTCAGCTGTCACTTCAGAGCTTCAGCTGTCACTTCAGCTTCAGAAGTTGATCTCTAGTACCGGATAGCTCAATGGTTAAGCAAAAGGTCGAGGGTTCAATCCCCTCTCTGGAAATCTACTTTTTCTTTTCAACTCCTTTACTTCTTTATTATATGTAGGCTTTATTATATGTAGTATTCAATCAATAAGAGGAATCTTTCTCTTGTGAGAACCAGTTTGAACCGCTTTGAAATGAGATCTATTGAGTAACAACAGTAACAAACGTGTCAGACACAGATAATACAGAATCTTTTTTATAAATAAAGCTTTAATGAAGTTTTAGACATTGATTTCATTTCTTTTATTGGTTAGGAAAGTTTTTTCAGATCAAAAACGTCATCAATACATCAGGAATTAGTTTTAAAGATGAAACTCGAATGCAATTACAAAAACCGATTTCCCAATTCAATCCCAGGCTTTGAGAGTTTTTGTGTGAGTTGTACTTGTGCGTAAATTGAATCAATGAATGTTGTGTGGGTTTATTCAATTAATCAATGAGTTTATTCAATTCAATTTCATCAATTTCTCAAGTCAAATCACATTTCACAGTTCACATTCTCTCAATTTCATTGTGTTGTGGGTTCCCGAGTGACAACGATGTTGACTGAAGTGATCGAGTTTCGATGATTTTTGACGGGACAAGGATTTTGTGAGTTTTTTCTCTGTGACGCCATCAAAATCGGCAAAACGGCCCGGATATTTGGATTTGATTGGGTCACTTCTGATACTGAACCCCGAAATCGCAAAAGTCTCTTCGCACTCTGTCGGAATTCGGGTCGAAGACAGAAAAAGACGAAAAAGTAGAGACACGATTGAATACCGTACAATGAGTAGGCGATACCTGAAAAGTGATTACTCAAAAAGCATCAAATTTAAGTGGCTTTTATTGCTCTTTTTGTTTTGATTAGTGACTGAATAACATGAGGCTTTTTTTCGAAAGAATTTCGGCTTTCGAAAAAATTTGAACGAAAGTTCGACTGAGTCTTTCTCTTTCGAAAAATTAAAATATTTGACAGCTAGTTTTCTCATCTGGTTTAACATGAGTTCTAGTACCTTACAGCTTTCATCTCAGCTTCTAGTACCTTACAGCTTTCATCTCAGCTTCTAGTACCTTACAGCTTTCATCTCAGCTTCTAGTACCTTACAGCTTTCATCTCAGCTTACAGTTCTATTATCTTTTAACTTACTATTAACAAAGTACTTCTATTTTTCGTTAGAGAAATCTTAGAGGAAGTTAGAGAAATCAAATCAAATCTTAAGGGTTAATAAAACCCTTTTTCTTAAAACTATAAAACTTAAAACTTTTCTTCACTATAAAAATTTGGCTACTTATGTAATGAAATGTGCTCTAACTCTTTGTTTTGACATCAAGTTGTTTATGTGAAAGAAACGAGTCAAACGGACTTCTTGTCAATCCCCAAACGGACAGTCAATTGGACTTCTTGTCTTTTTGACTGGTTTCGTTTAGGAGCCCATAAAATCCACAAAACAAAAGCTTTTTCGGAATCTCTCAAAAGCCATTTTGTAGAGTGATGATAGATATGATTCTTGTCAATCCCAAACGGACAGTCAATCGGACAGTCAACCGGAATCCTTGTCCTTTTGACTGATTGTCTTTAGGAGCCCATAAAATCAACAAAACAAAAGCTTTTCGGATCTCTCAAAAGCCATTTTGTAGAGCAATGATAGATTTTTTTTGATTATTCAAAAGATTATATAACGCTTTTATGCGTTCCAGAAAAACTCTTGAAAGTCAGCGCCATTTCATACTCTTGAACCGAATAGTTAAACTCGAGTTTGGGGTCTCTAAAAGAATCATCTTCTCTATCTTTTCTATCTTTTTCTGTATTTAGACGTTTTTAGAGCTAATTACTATAAAAGTAGTGCCTTTTGAGCTCCATTATTGTACAATGTTATCTTGGCTAACAAAAATAGGCACATTTTTGACAAATTTCATTTTTTCGACATCAGCAATCACGTTTAAAGTCTTATGAAACAAAAAAAAAGTTTTAAATTTTTACACAACTCACGAAACTATTGGAAAAATGTCCGTAGCTTTTAAAAATCTAAACGAAAAAGCTGTGAACTCTTTTGGTTTTTGAGAAAAACATCTTGATCTTTTTGTAGAGCGCAACACTAAAATATGCCGTAATGCTGTAAATCCATTCATCTGATAACAAAAGGGAATGAGAATATACATACAGAATGAGCTTCTATCAAAGAATGAGCTTCTATCAAAGAATGAGCTTCTATCAAAGAATGAGCTCCTATTCAAAATGATTCGTTGCTTTATGCATTTATTCAACCCTTCATTGCATAGAGTTACCTTGAAACAAATCCGAGAACTTGATCGGTCCCCATTTATTCTCAATCAACACTGCGTTCGGTATGGCGACAAAGAGCAGCGATAGGGTACTTATCGCGATCATCGTTTTCAATTGTCGAGTCTCGGTTTTCGTGCATGTCTAAGTAAAAGATTTGGGGAAATTAAACATACCGGATTTTCTTTAATAGTAGTGCACTGCTGCCTAAGCTTTGCCTAAATTCCTCGAAATCTCGAGAACCGTTTATCAGAACCTATCGATGTGGGGTCGGAAAATGTAGCTGACGATGAGATCTAGTGGGGGATTAGAGGGTTGAGCTTCTGGGAAAGCTTGGGAACTGTAGAATAGTCGTCAACTCGACTCAACGCGGGGCACTATTAGGGACCAATCATTGCCAATATTAGGAGCCAATCATTCCCAATATTAGGAGCCAATCACTGCCAATATTAGGGGCCAATCATTGCCAATCTTAGAGGCCAATCGTTGCCAATATTAGAGGCCAATCATTGCCAATATTAAGGGCCAATCATTGCCAATATTAGGGGCCAATCATTGCCAGCAATAATAATGGCAACTCCACATTTTCAATCAACTTTAAACGACTCACTCTTTTACTCGGTATCGTGAAGTTCACATAAATGCATATCGTGAAAGCCACCAAGTATATTGTCACCGATAAAGTGTTCTGTGTTAGCCCGTAAATCGGATTGATTCTAAATAGGCTATTCGGGAAGCTAAGCTGAGCTAAGCTAAGCTGAGCTAAGCTAGGCTGAGCTAAGCTGAAAAACTTTTCAACAAACACACTCTCTTGCTTTGACAAGAACAATTTCTTATTTCCCCCCACTCACCCGCTCGTTGTCCCACATTGTCGATCGGCGTTTGTTTGAACGTTAAAGAGAACATTCAAAATGGCGGCAATAAGCATCGACTAAATTATCGTTGTTTTCTCTATTTTCTCTAAAAAAAACTCTAAAAATAGTACCAGCGGGAAAAGAATTCCGACAGAAACCATTATTTTTCTGTGATTGCTTTTCCAAACCCGAAATTTTGCCATAAATGTCACCGCAAAAAAGCGCTCGAGTGAGACGACAAGAGTCATTGAAGCGGGATAGGTTTCTGGAAATGAGAGAGAGAAAGTACAGTGTTTGATTCTTTAGATTCAATCTTAAAGATTCGAAATTTTATGCCAGATAAATGCCAGTAAATGCCAGATAAATCTTTCTAGAGTCATTGCAATTGTTTAAGTAATAAAGTGTCTGTCTGTCTGCTTGTCTGTCTGTCTGTCTGTCTATCTGTCTGTCTATCTGTCTGCCTATCTATCTGTCTGTCTATCTGTCTATCTGTCTATCTGTCTATCTGTCCATCTGTCTGTCTGTCCATCTGTCTGTCCATCTGTCTGTCCATCTGTCTGCCTATCTATCTGTCTATCTATCTGTCTATCTATCTGTCAGATCTAAGCATTTCACTTTCTCATACCTCCAATAATCATAATGATCAACCATGGCGTTGTGAAAAGACATTGTCGTGAAGTCATCGGCTCATGAAAATGGCCCGATCCGAGAACGATATAGCGACAAATGCCCGTAACCGTAAAGTTTAAACCATTTATCTGGAAGTCTCAATTTTGATGAGTAGAACTTAACGAGCTAAGACAATTGCTTCAAAGCTTCTTTCATCGCTGGCATTTGATCAAATCTTGGCTTTGCCTAGCACGCAATTTTGACTCACAACCGCCATGATCCTGTCGACTGGCTAAGGGCCTTGTATCTTGCTAGGGAATCGCCAACTTAAATAGCTATCGCTAACTCAGCCTCTTTAAATCACCCTAGCTTATCTGATAGAGTTTTAAAAGCTGATTCCAAATCTGATTCTAGTTTCACTAACGGAGCCGTCTATCGCGAGTTATTTGGTAAAGAAGTTTAAGCCGCATTTTCAGAGCTAATATAAGCCTTCTTGCTTCCTGCCAAACGTGGCGATGCGGTGGTTTAGTGGATAGTTTGGGCGCGAGATTTTTGATTCTAGTTCAGACTAACGGAGCCCTGTATCACGAGTTATTTGGGAGAGAAGTTTAGGTCATATTTAGCCAATCTAGGCCCTCTTGCTTCTCGTCAAATGTAGCGATTCGTTTTCTTTTCAAATGTAGCGTTTTTATTAATCGTTTTCTATAAAGACATTGCTTTTAAGTATCTTATTTCACAATAGAGATATCATAAAATAACTTCTGTAAAGAATTCGACCAATCTCCAGATTACTTGTGCGTTTAAAAGTCCCGTATCACTTCATATTTTTAAACGATGACTTCATAAAGTCATAAAGGAGCTTTAAAGAGCTTTAAAGGCCCCTTCACTTTGACTTCACTTTGAATACTTAAAAATGGTTTTTAGTGTTTTAACTAAAAAAGCAAAAAAAGATTTGAACAAGGTTTGTTAAAGGCCCCACGTGGGCACACTATTCACTACACCACCGCATCGCTACATTTGACGGAAAGCAAGAGGGCAGCAAGCAGCAATATAGCTAAATACGACCTAAACTTCTTTGCCAAATAACTCGCGATAGACGGCTCCATTAGTAAAACTCAAATCAGATTTGGAATCACCGTTCAAAACTCTATCAGATAAGCTAGGGGTGATTTAAAGAGGCTGACTTAAGTTGGCGCTATTCTCTAGTTAGTCGGGAGGTCAAGGATTCGATTCTCGCTAGATTATTGATTCATTTTTTCTGATTTATATGGTTATTTTCTTTCTTTTTTAGAGCTTAGTGGTTGTGCTGAATCTATTAAATTCAAGAATATTATTCAAAAATACATTTAATCGTGTGAATACATGTACAGTCGGCAAAAAATGTCTTTCACCATTGTTGTATTCTGTTGTTTACTATGGCATAGACGACATTTAATGCCTTCTCCGTTTTGTACTTTTAGTAACTCGACCTTACTAAAAGTTACTAAAAGTACAAACGGAGAAGGCATTAAATGTCGTCTATACCATAGTAAACAACAGAATACAACATTGGTGCAAGACTTTTTGCCGACTATATTTTTAAATACAATTCTTGAATGACTATTAGCAAATGTTAAAGCAGACTTTCTCGACTTTACTTAAACCTTTTAATTCTTAAAAACAAGAGCATACCTTGTTTTAATAAAACCCACAAATTCAGCGATGCATAAGAATTGATATATGGTGAAACGAGATCGATCACGGTGAGAAAGGTGGTTGCGATTGAAATCGCATTGAAGAGGAGAACAAAGAAAGCCGGATCACTGAGTAGGTGACGAAACGAATCGATAGCTGCTCGTCTTGATTCATAAATTCTAATTCTAATTTAAATTCAAGGAAATTTGATTTGCTCACATAAGAAAGTCAAAAAAAGGTTGTGCAAGATAGCCAAAAAAGCTCAAAATTCAATTTAGATTCAAATTGTGCTCTTAAATTGTCTGCAGAATGAAATTCTTAGACTCAGACAAGGTAGCAATTTTGAAACAGCAAAAATCAATTGCAATCGTTCTTTTAATGGTTTTATGTTTCAAGGGCTTTTCAAGTGTCGTGCTTAAATTTTAGTACACGGATAGAGTGCAGAAGTACAGAAAAAAAACTTCAAAACCATCCAGAAGTACAGCAAAAAATTCTCTTCTAAAGTTCTTTCTAAATTCTTCTATTCTCCTCTAAATTCTTCTATTCTCCTCTAAATTCTTCTATTCTCTCTAAATTCTTCTATTCTCTCTAAACTCTTCTATTCTATTCTAAATTCTTCTATTCTCTTCTAAATTCTTCTATTCTCTTCTAAAGTCTTCTATTCTCTTCTAAAGTCTTCTATTCTCCTCTAAATCTTCTATTCTCTTATAAAGTCTTCTACTCCTCTTCTAAAGTCTCTATTCTCTTCTAAATTCTTCATCTCTCTAAATTCTTCTATTCTCTCCAAATTCTCCTATTCCTAAATTCTTCTATTCCTCTCTAAAGTCTCTATTCTCCTCTAAATTCTTCTATTCTCCCCAAATTCTTCTATCTCCTCCCTCTAAATTCCTTCTATTCTCCCCTAAACCCTTCTATTCTCCCCAAATTCTTCTATTCTCCCCAAATTCTTCTATTCTCCCTCTAAATTCTTCTATTCTCCTCTAAATTCTTCTATTCTCCTCTAAATTCTTCTATTCTCCTCTAAATTCTTCTATTCTCCTCTAAATTCTTCATTCTCTCTAAAGTCTTCTATTCTCCTCTAAATTCTTCTATTCCCTCTAAATCTTCTATTCTCCTCTAAATTCTTCTATTCTCCCTAAATTCTTCTATTCTCTTTAAACTTCAAAACAAAGCTATTTTTTAAAACTCTGAAACCAAAGACTATGTTAAATCACTTGCAAAACCCTTCATATCGGAAAAAAATGAAATGTTTTTGTTGGAAATGAAATATTTGAAAAGTCGTTTCTGCTCACCTCCGCAAAATCCGATTCGCGGACCTGCCCTAATTTCCCTACAGAAGACTCTTCAATTTCATTTTTTTCCGCATTCAATTTTTGCTTTTCCCTTTGTCATTCTAAGGCTTATAGTTTGTTGCTTTTTCTTGGAAATACAGAAAACGAGAAACATTGGAGAGTTTGATACAGGTTTAAAGTGAAGTTTGAGACATGGTTTAAACAGAGCAATCAAAGACAGAGCAATCAAAGTTCAAAGTCTTTCTGTTCTTCCTTAAAAGTTCTTTCAAAATGACAAAAGCTAAAAGCTACCTTTTGTCTTTTACTAAAAATGACAAGCTAAGCTACAAGTTAAATTGAGTTAAAAGTTAAAATAACAAGTTAAGCATATTGAATTTATTAGTCAACAAAGGTGTTGAATCATCCTTTCCCTGTGGCGTCTCGAATAGAGTATTTGATCGGGTTTCAGCTTGTCGATGTCATCAGGGCTCAACTAAAAACAGTTATATGTGTCGTAGCCGATTATGAATTTCAGCCGATTATGGGGAGTGGGACAAATGCGACCTTTTTTTGCGCACCCGGACATTTGCGCACCCGGACATTTGCGCACCTTTTTTTGCGCACCTTGCCCATTAGCGCACCTTTTTTCAGCGTTTTACAAAAGCTCCCAAAAAGCTAATATTAACCAATTTCTATTTCAAATGTTGTTTTTCTAGGTTCTAGGTAATTTTAGGGCGTAGAATCGAAATTTTGACATATCAGAGCTTGTGGAAACAAACGGACGCAGTTATACAAAGAGAAAATCGACAATTTTCTGTAATTTGATCTAGCCGTTTTGTCTGTTTTGTCAATGACTCTGCGTTGAATGAGATCAAATACTTGATGGTTGGACGCTCCTAGTCCCACTCATTCATAATCGGCTACGGTGGTCCCGTCGATTTTTAATGAAACGTTTTAAGCGCTGGCAATTTTTAACCTAGACTCACAAATTTGGTGCCAATCGATGCAGAATTTAATTAGCTATAAAATGATTTAATATTGCCCTCATACATTGAAGGGTTGCTCTAATAGAAAGATTTGCCAAAAAATTTCATTCATAATCGGCTACGACATATAATCTCTTATCTCTGTATCTACTCTTCTTTTTCTTAACCTCACCTCTTGGTCTTCATATTGGTAGTCAATGGAGCCGGTCCCTGCTGTTGTAGTGGTCGTCGTGGTTGTAGTTGTTGTTGTAGTTGTTGTTGTCGTTGTTGTTGTAGTTGTTGTTGTAGTTGTTGTTGTCTTGTTGCTGTAGTTGTTGTTGTGTTGTTGTTGTAGTTTTTGTAGTTGTGTAGTTGTTGTAGTTGTTGTAGTTGTTGTAGTTGTTGTTGTCATCGTTGTTGTCGTTGTAGTTGTTGTTGTTGTTGTTGTCATCGTTGTTGTCGTTGTCGTTGTTGTCGTTGTTGTCGTTGTTGTTGTTGTTGTTGTTGTTGTTGTTGTCGTTGTCGTTGTTGTTGTTGTCATCGTTGTTGTCGTTGTAGTCGTTGTTGTTGTGGTTGTTGTCGTGGTCGTGATTGCAGTTGTAGTCGTTGTCGTAGTTGAAGTTGTTGCCTCTCTAAAATATCAACATCTGACAAATCCTAGTCAAAACAAGCGGTTTATTATGTTGCTCAATCTTGTGACCGTTAGTAAAAACTTTATGTTGTTGTGCAACACATTAGCCTGGCAACTAGTAAAATTCATGCCTTCATGCCGTGTGAAAATTCATGCTCAGCTACCATTCAGTTTTTCTAAAAAATTGCGCTTTATTAAACCGAAGTCAAAAGAGTCACAAGAGTAAATTCAAAGATTTAATTACCATGACATTCAACCAATCACTAAATGTATAATAAACTGAGAAAAGATTAAAAAAAACGTCACACAAGGTGTAAAAAGCTATCCTATAATCGCCTCCTATAAAAACCATCCTATAATCTATCTAACACTTTAAAATAACATAAATCAGTAAACAAAGAAAGTGGAGCGCAACATTTAGAAAAAAATGACACGTATTGGGTTGGGGACTATGACTCGGCGCCAAACTTTAAAGGGACTTTTTGCACACATAAAGCCTTCTTTAAATATACCTTTGGTTTCATCAAAAGGATCCACTATTTCTCTACAAAATGACTTTTGAGAGATTCCACAAAGCTTTTCTTTCGTGGAGTTTATGGACTCCCAAACACAGCTAGTCAAAATGGCAAAGAGCCCGACTCATCATTTGAACAGTTTCTTTCACATAAACCTTCTTTGGTGTTTATATAAAAAAGATAGAGCACATTCAATTACTTAAGTTGCCAAATTTGCAGGAAGATCCCACCAATGGTTTTTTCTAGATGACAGTTTGTAGTTTTTGTGAAAAAATGGCTTTTTCTTGAGCGGAGGCGCTGTTTGAATTTTCTTTTAAATGTCATTTTGTAGAGAATTAGTTAACCATTCTACTCATATCAAACGCATATTATTTGACAAAGTCGAATAGAAGTTTTAGACATTTTTTTGATTTTCGGCGCCGAGTCATAGTCCCCAACCCAATATTAGTAATTTTTTTGGAAGAATTGAAAGGTACCTGAGTTCCACATGAATACATGAATTTCCTCGGAATGAAAAAACGGCATAAAGCATGAAGCAAAAGCACGAAGCACAAAACACGAATTTTACTAGTTTACTAGTTGCTCATTAGTCTCTCAAGTTTTACCTAACTCTGTGAACAACACAAGGCAAACATTCGGTGCTTTTTTTGCAACACTTTATCAACATTTATTCCCGAACATCAAGCCGTTTTCTTGTTAGTGACAGCAATCTTTTGTGTGACAGCAATCCTCTGCGATTCCCCTTCAAGATCCTCATCAGTCGGCATCGCCAAATTGTCGATGATATTCGAAATGTGATCGAAAACTTCCGGTCCACTCTGTGTCCAGTTTCCCTTTTTCTGTAGTCGATCGATTCTTTTCTTTATCTTGTCCCTGCTCATCGTGTAGTTCTTTGGGTTAAAATTTCTCATTTTCTCAAAATTTCGAGCACTGATTTTCGAGATTTTATCAAAGTCAGAAGTTTTTGTATTGTTTGCATTGAGATCGCTCCAGAATTTGGACGGTTTGGTGGTATGAGAAAAATGATTCGAAAATGGTTGGTGAAGTGGTTGGCGCTGGTAGTTGGGGTTTGAATTTAAGGGAGGTACTGGGGATGTGATACGCGACAGTTTAAGCGTTGTTGTGACCTCCATGTCTTCATATTGAAATTCGACTGACTCATCATCTTCCTGGTGTAGTTGTAGTCGTAGTAGCTGTAGTCGTTGTCGTTGTTGTATGTTGCTGCTGTCGTAGTCGTTGTTGTTATCGTTGTTGTCGTCGTTGCTGTTGTCGTTGTTGTTGTTGTTGTCGTTGTTGTTGTTTTGTCGTTGTTGTCGTCGTTGTTGTTGTCGTTGTTGTCGTCGTTGCTGTTGTTGTCGTCGTTGTTGTCGTTGTAGTGGTTGTAGTTGTTGTTGTAGTTGTACTAGTTGTGGTTGACGCAGTTGTCGCTGCTGATGTCACAGTTGTATCTGATGTTGTCGTTGAAGCCAGACTCGTTAAACTGATTGCCGTTGTTCCCAGACCATTTGTCTCGCCGTTTTGTTCCCAAAACCAACAGTTAATTGCAACCAAAAAAGTAAGCCAAAAAGTAAGCTGAGTAAGTAGTAAGCCTTTCCATTCAGATTTGTGATGTGCAAAGGCGGTAACGCAAATTTTCTTTCTCTATATCTTAAATTAAAAGAATACTCAGCTAGATGTGGGAGTGAACATAGGGTTGGCCCTGAAAACAGAGCATTGATTGAAACGATCGATTGAACTCGATCGAAATCGATTGAACAATTGTGAAACTCACATGTCAGCAGCAAATCCTTGTGGAATTTGTGGCATCTGAAAGCCCGGTGAAGCCGACGAAGAGAACGAATCCTCAGTGATCGCCTCATCGGTGACAGTGATCTCAACGATTTCTTCTTGAGACTCTTCGTGAGTTGTCGCTAAATAAATCGATGGAAATTGATTTTTAATTAACGGGAAAGAAGAAATGAATCAATCCAATTGATAGGGAATTTCCTAAACAAAAGGATAAAAAGGATTGGGGATAAGGGGCAAAAGTACACCAATACTATTGGCGTACTTTGCTTGGCTTGGCTACTTGGCTTGGCTACTTGGCTTAGCTACTTGGCTTGGCTACTTGGCTTGGCTACTTGGCTTGGCTACTTGGCTTGGCTACTTGGCTTGGCTACTTGGCTTGGCTACTTGGCTTGGCTTGGCTACTTGGTTAAAACTGTTTAACCTATTTATAGAGAAAGCAATGCTGCTTTTAAGCCTTCATTTCAAGTTTTAAGTGTTCAAATTCTCATCTTTTCCCCTCACTTTTCCCCAAAAGATCTATAAAACCTGTCTCACTACAAGCTCTACAAAACCAGTCACTCACTTGTTATCGGAGTTGTACTCGTTGTCACCGGGACGATGTCAGCGGCCATTTTCTGGAACATTGCTAGTGGAGGAGTTACAGGCCTGAAAAAAGATTCACGATTTGAGAAATTCTTGATTCTTGTACAATTTTTTCAAAAAATCTATGTATTCTATAGGTTTTAAGCTATTAGGTGTGGGAGGAAAAGTGATGTCGGTTTTGAATTCCCATTGTTCGCAATTTTCCATTTCTTTGCTTATGGATTTTTTCAAATTGATATCAGCTAGACGCTCGAGCTAGATTTTTTTCAAATTGGATATCAGCTAGACTATGAAAGTATAGGAGTCTAGGACGCTCTATCTTTATATTTATATACCAGGGTTTCATATTATATTTGATTTTCACAAATTTTTACAAATTTAACAATATTTTCAGGTACAAAATGCAACACGGAAAGTTTCCTGACTTCGAGCCGCTTTTTGGTATGATTTTAAACAAGGAAAATCCGCGGCTAAATCGCATCGGACAATCATTGAAATTTTTGTGGAAGACAGCATTAGCGAAAGATGATGCCAAATATGATTTCAACGGTTAAAAGATGGAAATGAAAGTCTCCAAGACGAGGAACGGTCTGGACGACCCTTAAGAGATTTTAGATGAGGATTTGCTTGATGCCATTGAACTCAATCCAACCCTTACCACTCGAAACTGTCACCGCTGATCTTTATTCAAAATAGTTGATGAGATTTAATGAGGCTTTAAAGAAATTGGGCGTTGAAACAACAAAAGTGCCATTTTTGCATGATAATGCAAAACCTCACGCTGCAAAAATCACTCACCAAAAAAATCGACGAGCTTGGTTGGAAACTTCTGCCCCACGCACCTTAGAGTCCGGCACCATCAGACTATTTTTTGTTTCGGCCGTTGAAGAGTTTTCTTATGGGAGAAAAGTTCGAGAATCATGCACAGAACAAAAAAATATTGAAAATTGAAATGCCAAGATAATTTGGACTGTTTTAGGCCGTTTGTTGCTAATTTATGGTTTTTTTTCGCTCAAATCGAGTACTTTGTTGCTAATTCACAAGTGATTTGTTGTCATTTTAGCAGTCGACACTATTTTGGCTCGAAAACTCCAGGGATGGGATCAGGGAATTGCGACAAAGATGGGAACAAGTAAAACAAACAAACAACAATAATAATTGAGAATATCTCATTGATTAGATGTGCGTTTTTAAGTTTTTAGCAATAAAAAGTTTTGTGACAAAAACCGACATTACTTCTCCTCAACCTATTAATTTAAAGCTTTTAAAGAATTCAAGCTAATCATTTACAGTGGACAATTAACGAGAACCGATGCTCCATTTGCACAAAGACCACGCATTTTCCAGGGCTTATTTTCTTGCATCCATTCAAAAAGACATCAATAGTTATTTTTTCGATGTTATCTTAGCTTTCGATTGGCACCGCACTCTAGCTGAAAGCTCTTTCTCTGTAACTTGGTAGTTTAGGTTTTCTTCAAGCCTACCCCATTATAGCGGCGACAATTAAATAGAACCGATCTTGAAATCTGCTTTTTTTCGAAACTTTCGATTTAATTAGTTTTTTTGCTTAGTTTTGTTTAATTAAGTTTTCCAATCGAAAGCTAAGATAACATCAAAAAAAAAAGAACTATTGATGTCTTTTGAATGGGTGTGTGAAAATAATGGAAAATTCGTGGTCTTTGTTATAATGGAGCATCGGTTCTATTTAATTGTCCGCCACTGTATAAGAATTAGGACCGATTTGCACTAACAAACTATCAGCAGTTGGGCTTAGTGATACAATTCATGGCGCAGCATTAGAAATGAATAAAGTAAATCGGTTTATCAATAATTTATCAAGTATTAAAGATGATAAGCTTTTCAGGTCAGCTTCAAAAGGGTATCTTGGCTAGTTTTGGTTTTTAATAACTTTAATAAATAGCTAAAAACTTTAATAAATACAAACTTAAATTAAAAAAATAAAGGCTAAAAGCTGCCTTTAATAAATGGCTAAAAGGCTAAAACACTATAATAATATAATAGAAGTGTTTTTCGGAGAGTTTCCGAGAAAGCAGTGTGGTCTATGGCGCGCGGAATTGAACCCGCGAGCAAAACGGGCAGAGGTTTTCGGAATTCTAGCACACTATCCCCCCAGACTGACGCCGCTTCCAAAGCCTCTTGGCATGGCGCCCCCTTATATATGAGGTTTTGCCAAAAATTGTCAAAACTTTGAATACGTTTTTCTCGGAAACCAGGGTCTATAAGAGGGCACAACGCCGAGAGGGAGTAGAAACAGATGTGGCCTAGGGGATAGTGCGTTGGCTTCCGAGACTTGCCCCGTTTTTTGCTCGTGAGTTCAATCTCGCTTACCGCCAAAGTTTTTTTGCTTTTTTTTTTTTGCAAATACGTGTTTCTTAGAGTTCTACGGAGGCTTTTATAGTTAAATTCGGTTTCGTGTTTACGTGTTTCTTAGGTACCGTAGCAGCTAATTCTCCTGTCTGCGATAGAGTCTGCGATAGAGTCTTGGCATTAATTTTAGGCATCTCATCGAAACATCTACATCGACATTATTCGATGGGGCTCGTGTTGTGGGAGATTATTGAGAGAAGGTGCATTTTAACTTTAAATCTATTTCTGGGGGGGTGGGACAATGCGAGCACGCACACCTAGACGTTCGCGTGCCTTTTTTTTGCTGGAAAGGCCTTGCGAGGTCGGAGCTTCAAAAATATTTTCATAGGAGGGAATCTCTGCGTAGATTCCGAATTTCGACAAATCAGCCCTCGCTGAACGTCAAAGTTGGGCTAAAAGGCAAAAACTACGCAACTTAACGCTTTTCCGCAGTTTTTTGCCTTTTAGCCCAAATTTGACGTGTCAGCGAGGTCTGATTTGTCGAAATTCGGAATCTTACGTATACGATTCCTGATATGGAAATATTGTCGAAGCTCTACGGCCTTGCCTAAAGCCTTTTCCAGCAAAAAAAAAAGGTGCGCAAATGTCCGAGGTGCGCAAAAAAAGGTAGCATTTGTCCCACCCCCCTATTTTTGCTTTAATAAATATGCATTTTAACATCAAATTTATTTCTTTCTTCAAAAAAATTAAAAATACGTGTTTCTTAGAGTTCATAAGAGTTCTTAGAGCTTTTTGTAGCTAAATTCGGTTTCGAAAATCGATTTTAATTCGGTTTTGGGTGAGAATTGTTTTTATTAAAACGCAATTTAATATAATTTAATATAATTTTGTCTTACATTGGTGCCGGAGTCGCATAAAGAGGCGGGAGGAGTCGGGTAATATGGAGGCTGCAGTGGGTATGCATACGATGGTTGAGCATATGAATAAGTTGATAATAATAATAGGTCGGATAATAGTAGTATTGGGGTTGATGGTGAGGTAACTCAGTGGCAGTAAATATTGTGTTTGATAGTAAGCTAGGGAATGAGAGCATCGTAGGACGGGCTGAAATAGCCGATTTGTCGTTTCCGACGGTCATCGCTCACGTTTCTAAATCAACCGATGGAAAAGTTTTAGACGACTTTTTAGACGATAGTTTTAGACGATTTTTTTCAGAAAAACTACCTTTTCTCTTTTTTTGTACACTTTAAGTGAATAAATGAAAAGGCTACATGAAGGAATTATTGGGATAAACCCTTTGTGAAGCTGAGATCTTTGTAGGATCTTTGTTGAGATCTTTATGGGATCATTTGTATAGATCTTTGTGAGATCATTGTCGATCTCTTTGTGGGATCATTGTGAGATCTTGTGAGATCATTTGTGAGATCTTGAGATCATTGTGAGATCTGTGAGATCATTGCAGTCTTTGTGAGATCATGTGAGATCTTGTGGGATCATTTGTGAATCTTTGTGGTCATTTGTGAGATCTTGTGAGATCATTGCAGGTCTTTGTGAGATCCATTTGTGAGATCTTTGTGAGATCTTTGTGAGGTCTTTGAGAAGATCATTTGTGAGATCTTTGTGAGATTTTGTGAGATCTTTGTGAGATCATTGCAAGGAGTCTTTGTGAGAGATCTTTGTGAGATCTTTGTGAGATCTTTGTGAGATCTTTACAAAGATCTTTTATGAGGATCTTTGCAGATCATTTTTGAGATCTTTTGGAGATCATTTGTTAAGATTTCCGAAAGTAAACTTTTTTTCCGTTTGCAGATTTCATAGAATATTGAAATACTAGTTGGTTAATAAATCTTAAAAAAAATGTAGCCAACTCTGGTACGTTGATTACCTAAATTTTTCATTTCTTCACTTTTCTAGGGGTAATCGAAGAGCGCTGAACACGAATTTGACATTTTTTAAGTAGGTTTTCAATCAAAAACACCCAAATTCCCAATTTGCAATTTTGTCATTTTCGAAAAAGAACTTAAAACTCAATTTATGAACGCGCAAGCAATCGCTTTTCTAGATCAGGATTGCGTGGGTGTTTGAAGCTAATTTTTATAGCTTCAGAATCAGCGATTCCCATGAGATGCAGATGCAGATAGCGATTCTCAACTTCTAGCTGGTGTCATTCCCCTTAGCCAAATCAAAAATCTTTATCTACATTCTAAAATAGAAGTCTTAAATCCTAAAAGGCAATCGCTATCAGAGAAAGCAACAATCGCTAAGCCATAGTAAAACTCTTAAACGCATTCCATTTCAGCGGTAAAAACCCAAAGCAGCTTGTTTAAATACTAGAATTTAGCCTGTAAAATCAAAAACCCCATTTACCAGTGATTTATTGGGTTGGTGAATTGAAAACGGCCGGCTATATGTGACAGTTTGAGCACTTTCTTCAAAAGAAACCCATTTTGGTGTCAATGGAAAAGTTGTAGAGAATCAAAAATCAAGCTTATATCCTAATTTCAGAACGATTCAAAAACTGGTTTTCAAGAAATGCCAAATTTACGAATTTTCACAAAACTGGCAACAAAACTTGCATTTTAAGCGAAACTACTAAGTGTATCTTTTTTGGAAATTTGGCTATAGCCTAATTTGATTCTCTACAACTTCTTCTACACCAAAATGGGTTTCTTTTGAAGAAAGTGCTCAAACTGGTCTCAGT